ATTGTGTTCGATCAAAGTGTGTTTGAGCTGTATTTGTGTTATTTTACTCAGAATGCACTCCCTGCTGTGGTAGCAGAGACATTACCTGGGACAACCAATGGTACCATGCATGAAAGCGTTTCTTCAGAGGGCATCGATAATCCCCCAGGTTTTCTGTACAAAGTAAGTGAGTGTAATACACTGTAGTTAAGAGTACCTGTTATTCATATGAACATCACAGAGTTGTCCACAAGAGAAGGCAATTTAGCCCATCTTGTTTGTTTGGTGCGTTTGTAGCTCAGTGAATCTAAAAGTTCATCCAACTGCTCCTTGAAGAATGCTGGTGTCTGGGCCTAAACTTATGAAATAGTAAACCTGACATAACCCATGAATTCTTCATGCAAAGAAGTGTTTTCTTTTCAACATCCTAAATTAATTCAGATTGAGTTTCTGCTTCACCGCTGAGTCTGAAGTAGTCTGGGCTAGGTATCCATACAAATCTCCAAACAGAAGATCTTATGAGATAAGATCTTAAGATCTTATGCACTTGGATCTAATCTCCTTTGTTGTAAACTAAGAAATCTACTCCCTTTAACTATATGGCAATCCTGTTAAAAAATGTTTTAAGTTTAGGTATTCTGATCACATATCATAGTTCCAAAATAAGGTTTAACCATCTGACCGCAACCAACCGTAAATGAATCAGTAACATGATTTGTCTAGATGAGTTTAAACTAACATCTTCTTTCACCAGCCTCTATTAACAATTTCTGTATATCACAGTGGTGATTGAAATAGGTCCTCTCCTACAGTATGTGCAAAGAATGGCTTGATCCTTTGCACCACATAAAGGCCGATAGTTTGGAATTGCAGCGAATTAATACAGTACATTACCTGTGTACTAATCCTGATAACATCGTTTCTTAGAAATGAACTGCAGTAAAGATTGAAATAAAAGTTGGTTCCATTGTATATACAAAAGGCTTAAATTGTCACCAATTTTGGGCACGTTTAGATTTGACTCAGGATTCTGACTGCACTTACAGTATATTACAGATATATTGTATAATCATGCAAAGACAAAATAGGATCATACAAAGAAGTAGGAATAAAAAGAGTTCAGAAAAATGTCGTTTATATCGTTTTTCATCTCATTAGTCTTACTAAAATAAAAGCACAGAAAAATAGAGGTTAAATTTGGGCTGCAAATTATCTACACTGCTGTAGAGAATCTGAAACAGCCTGGATGTCCATCTAACTTTGAAGAACTGAGGTCCAACAGCCCTATGTTGCTGGACAAACTTAAATAAAACATATAAGGATAAAAATCTTAAGCTGCTGTTCTAGAATAAGGTAAAGTAATTCAATATATAAGATATAAATGGCAACATTTGAAAGCATTTCCATGACGTATTCCAAGAAAGTACACCAACTAGATTCGCTATTCACTTGTATATATACTGTATATGTATACTATGTTATACTGCAGAAGATGACTTACTGTATATAGTCATCAAATGGTCCTTACCCTGTCATAGACTAGGTCTCCCCCACGCTGATTTAAAGCAATTCTCCCACAGGTTCAAGCTATTCATGATTATACAGCCACTGACGGAGATGAACTGACTCTGAAGGCCAGAGATGTGGTTTTGGTGATTCCCTTTGATAATCAGGAAGAGCAGGTGAGATGAGAACATTATCATTCTTTTTTTTAACTGTCTGGAGAAAAAAAACCTCCCCCTCCGCCTCTTTGTCTCTTTCACAATTGAATGTGTCTTTATTTGGTTGTCATGGTAAACAAGAGTCGAATATAGTATCGGGCAGAACACGTTCCGCACATGTTGTGGTGTTGTTATATTGCGGCCTTTAGTAAACATGCGGCTACATTCTCGTCATTTTAGAATCTACATGATGTTATTTTAGTTCTAACACAACAACGTTATTTTTTAACTTTGAGCAGCATAGGACTACTATGAATATATGTGTAATCTGAATATTTTTATCTTTTGTTTTTCACTTACATAACTTATAAAGTTAGATTAAGATAAATGTACTATGTAAACGTTGTAAAAGGCTGTAACTATGTGAATTCTTTCTCAATATATAAAGTGTTATGTATGTGATTAGAACCTCTTGTGTAGCAGGTTTGAATGGATTACGCAGCAAAATTCGCCCTCACCAGCAAAATTCCCTTTCAGTCTGAAAACTTGCTTGGTGTTTCTAGGATGAGGGCTGGCTGATGGGAGTGAAGGAGGAGGACTGGATCCAGCACCGAGAACTTGGCAACAAAGGAGTGTTTCCTGAAAACTTCACCCAGAGGCTGTGAGCAGTCTTCCTGCATGGACCCGGTCTCTACCGCAGTAGATGGATTTCTTCTCTTTGTCGTTTTTGGGCTCACAGAAAATGAAAGGAACAGCTCAGTATTTGCCGGTAGAGTCTTTCACCTGTTGATCTGCTTCGAGGAGTTCATTGTCATTTTACTAAAGTTTCTTTGGAGGGTATTTTTTTTGTGTGTGTGTATGCGTTCCTGCGTTCTGGTGACACATTGCATGTACCACAGCAATAGAATATGATTGTTTTCAGAGGGAGTGACAGTCTCCTACTACATATGAGAGTATTTTTTGAATATTTTAGAATACGAGCACTGTGAAAAGTTCCAATATGTGTATTTTGTTCTTTAAATTCTGGAATCATCATAACTACGTGTATCCAATAGGTGAGATTGCCACCACTTCCTGAAAGCTTTCAACTGATGGGATATTGAGCCCAATTCATTACTTCAATATTAATTAATAGTAATAATTGGTTCTGTGGGGATGTCCGAGATTCGGCTTTACTGGGCTAGGCTATGCAGGAAGTATTTTTGCCAAAAAAAAAAAATACTCAGGTAAGAAGTTCCACTTTATACCAACAAAACACACTTTCTTACGCCAGGGATGACCAAGATAGGTCCTGGAGAGTAACAATTTTTAGAGTTTAAGTCAGTGGTTCCCAATCCTAGTCCAGTCCTGGTCCTGGAGACCCAGACACCTGTTGGTCTGTGTTCCAGCTGAGCCCTTGATTACATCTCATTGACATAATAATGAGGTTAATCTGATCAAAGCTCTCAGGTCTTAAGATTGTACTGTTGTATTTTTGTGAAGTGAAATAAAAACTCAAGCTTTTAACTTGAACCAAAATCCAAATATTCAGTGGAAGCCACCGCAAGTTTAAAGTTAATTTATCAAAACGCACATCAATACAGCGTACAGGAGTAATTGCTGGCAAGGGGATGTTTTTCCCCCGCAAGTTCACCGGAGGAAATCGGATATAAAAAATTACAAGCTAAAAGTTACGATTTAAAACTACACAATAAATAACACGATAAGGATTGGATCAAATCAAATAAGGTAGAATAAAATCAAACTCAATCTGGATAGAATGTGTCCAAGGTGTACAGTATACAATGTATTATGACCAAAAAGTGCAATCTACAATATGCCAAATACAATGAATCCTTAGATCAAGTCAAACGTTTGATCAAGTAATCACATTCGTGTGTCTAATGAATGTGGGATAGAGTGAAAACAAGCCGGTGTTTGGGAACCACTGATCATCCTCAAATACTCTGTTTCTAAACAACCTGGTTTTAACTATTTGAAACCAAATTATTGTGAATTCTTCATTCATTTTATCGGCTTAGACGTCGCTGGAAATAAAAATCATATACAGTAGCTGTCAAGGATCACAACTTGGGTGTGCTTAGGTTTTACAAATTGATTAATTAAGGATTATTTTTACAGTATAAGACTGTACCGGTTTTCAACCTCCATTTTATGCAGTGCAATGAGAATTTGCTCACAGTATCCAAACGGCATTTGAGGGAATTTCTAATCTGTTTTCCATTCTACTTTTCAAGTAAGTTAATGGAAACAGGTGCCTCCATACACTAAGATATATTTACAGCGTTTATCCGCCTTCTCCATTCCTTGTTGGTCCATCTCCTATTTTAAATATCTTACGGGATTTTCTTTAACAAAACACTGAGGCATTCCAGTTAAAAATGGCTTCTGCACAGACTACAGGTCCTTTACAAACATTTCAGCGGGAGTTTTGGAACAGTAAGCTCAAGCAACCAAACAGGTTTGATTCGTTCCTTTGCCTGCGTTTTCATTCGTCAGCTTCACTTCTTTCTGTTTTTGTTCTTGTTGCAATTAAGTATTGAGGAGTTTGTAAGTAATTCATTCCTTATTGTGTCAAATACTCTCGGGGGGAAATGAGAAAACCATTGGTTTCCTCCCACAGTCCAAAGACATTCTGGTAGGTTAACTGGCTTCTGGGAAAAACTGGCCATAGCAACCGTGTTGGCCTGCAATGGACTGGAGTCCTGTCCAAGGCGTATCCCACCTTGTGCTCTTTGCTTGCTGGGATACACTTGGCCCGCCGTGACCCTGCATTGGATAAAGCTGTTAGAAAATGGATGGGTGGAATTATTACATTCAAACTGGGTATAAAATTTAAAGGTGTGAATGGGAAATAAACAGTGCACACTGTTTGCTTAGACTGGTTCTTATTGAGATACAGAAATATTAGTTGAATGACAATGAACTCGTGTCACTAAAAACATCCCTGGAAGCATTTCTGTGTTTTATGTTTTTTTTTTATTGTTTGGTGATTCCTCTGGAAACATATCCTTTCATATTGTAAATGAGGCATTAAAAGAAAAAAAAAACAATTTATTTTAATACTGTGCAAAAGAAGAAAGACATGTTGCATGATATTATCCTGTGGTTAGTTGATAGCAGACTTTGAAAAATGCATAACCGTGAGATGAAAAATGGTACCGGTCCCATCCATACAAACATATTCTCTGTGTTTCTAATAGAGGAAACCAAGTAGAAGAAGAAAATAATGGTTTCAGTCTTCTTGGCCATGATATAGTGATGGTGGAAATTTGCTGAGTTTTTTTCCTCCAAGTACTAAAGGCCCCTGGTTTTGGTTCGATACATTTTTTACAGTAATTTTTGTGAAACCTGATTTGAGGACAAATCACTTCAGGAACAGAATTAATGGCTAATTTATAATTTGACAACCCAACAAAGACCAGTAAAATCAGTGCATTCATTAATGCATTTTGTTTACATTTTAACTTTCAATCTTCAGCTTAAAGCAAGCAGCATTATCTACCTACTGGTTTCCTCTTTCTTTTCCGTCTGTGTCCTCCAAACTATAAAGATCGCAAGAAAACGAACAATAACCCTACACTGATTCCTCTTTTTCACATTGACATAAACCAAAAATCAATTAGAAGCCCAGCTTCCCCACAGGTAAAATCAGGTGCCTTGTACTACATTAGAATTATTGTATTATGCAAAACGTTTGAGAACATTCTTAGAATATTGAAACTTGGTAAACAGACATCAAAACACTAAACCTAGCATTTAAAAACCAGCTGGAATTTAGACGTTACGAAAAATATCCAGATATTGGATTCAGATAGAATTCAAGATAAAGAAAACTTTCTACAGAGCGAAGAAAATAAAATGTTGAGTTCCTGCTGTTCATCAGATCATGTTTAGTTATAAGTATGAAGGCACTTTTTACTTTAAAAATTAGCCACATATAATTGAATATGTGAAGCAAAATACAGTGAACATTCTTATCTATTGGAACAAGATATTCAATGATTGAACAGCTTTTCTTCTTACCTGTTGGTTTGTTTTTGCTATTGCAATTGGATTATCTGTTTCTATAAGCAGACTTTTTGTCTTGAAATGCAAATGAACTATAATTAAAACTGTGAATTGCTTTTACATTATTCTTAATGTGTTTCTGAACCTGTATTCAGATAGAGGAATACAGGAAGCAACTCTTTCGCTCATTAATAGTTGCTACATTGATGCATCTGTTCCACTATTGAAATCAAGTCCATTATACTGTATGTAAAAGAAAAAAGCTACTTTGCAATTGAAATTCTAGCCTTAAATGTTGTTAAATCAGCTTTTACCCACGAGTGGCTGTCTTGGAGGAAAGGAATTGCCAAATTACTGTGCTTTTTCAAAAAAATAATTCTGTTTTGAATGTTCATCAAGGGTGTGCAAGAGCTGTTTATTGGAAGAGCTGTTTTATTTAGAAAGACAGAGATGGATTATTTCTGCTTGAAATTCATTTATCTTCTCCATATAACATCTGGGGTAAATTTGCACTGCACTTCAAAACTGTATTGGGTAGCAACTGACATACTATATGAAACAAATTCTATAAAAAACACATTTTTATACAGCATATACTTGCTTCATCAAAATCCCGATCACAACAAGACTCATTAACCTGGAAAAAGCAAAGCATCTCAAAGCATAGCCTGACGTTATGGTTGACCAGTGACACTGTTGTCACTCTTAAACTGGAATGCACTGGAAACGTGGAAGCAACATATGTAAGATGGCAAATATGAGTCAGATGCTCTGGTACTTACTTGTACAATTCCATGAGCTCAGTTTTAGGTTCCTTGCATATCTGGCCAGGATTGGTTTAAATTTGAATCCACAAACGGATCATCCATTCTGTTCATTGGTTCATGTGTGACTTTTATTTTCATTCGCTATCAATCATTTGGATGAGCAACCTCAAGTGGACTGATTGACACAGCACCCTTCTAACCCAGCCCTTAGCTGTAACTTTTTGTTGTGCTGCTGAAAACCAATAGCAGGTGTAAAGGTAAAAAAAAAGGTGTTGATCATCTCTGTTTCTTCAGCTGTCTTTATTTAACGTTGATTACATCAGCCAACACACTTGAAATTGGCCTGGGCGACCTGGATGCTGTTTTTTTTTCAGTCCAAAGCATACAACCAATTAAAAATCTTTTTTTTCTTTGCTTTTTGTTTAAAAACACATTACATATCTATTTATTTGTTTCGTGTTTGATAAATGTTACAGCTGTTTTATGATTTTCCTTGATGAATATACTTCGGGGATACATTATACTACCATTGATGAAAGGAAAGCTTCAGTTATGATATTTAACTATGTAACAGGGAATTATGTATCAATAAAACTGGGAGTGTTTCCAAGTTTGATGTCTGGGGTGCATTCAATAAGCATATCTGTGTAACAATTAGATGGAGGTTACAAGATTATCTGATGCTTTTAAGCACCTGAACAAAGAAAAATATAAACAACCAAGGTTTCTGGATTTATTTATGTGGTTTTGTTCAGCTATCCGATATACAATGCTTCTTTTGCAATTTTCTGAACTGAGAAATATGACATTGATATGAATAAAGCACCTGCAACAGCTACAACAGAGGTACAACAAACTTACAATCCACATACTGTACAGTACACTGTATTTTAATCAGTAGCTGCTGAAGGCTTTATTAGTCCAACTCAGGAATGTGTTGTAAACTGACCATTAATTTAATTTGTGCAGATTTAACTTGTCTAATTATGTATACAGTATATAAACATACAGTATACACTTACATTTACAGATTTATACATTTTCTCTCTCATGAACATGTCACAAATTTAGCCTGGAGCATATTACATTTATTCTTGAAATAAAACATTTATTTTGTTCGCAGGTTAAGTAGCAAGTTCTGTAACATAAACGTTTGAGTATATGGAAATGACAACAGGCACTTCACAGCATCTTTCTGAAAAAAAAAACCCACACTTGGCCTGACACTGTAAGAGGATCAGTGTAAGTCATCACCTTGAAAAGACCGCTAAGAGCACCATCTTATTGTTAGCAAGAACTGCATGTCAACCTCAGCATTAGACAAAATGTAACATTAACTAAAATAGTGCTTATTGAATGTACCCCTGAGCATAAAGGGGCCGTTCATTAAAATCAGAAGCTTTAAAATGTATTCCTTGACCTGTGAAAGTGATTTTGTTGTCCATCCTG